AACTCTGTGTGTTTCTTGTTTGTTTGTTTACGATTTAGTAATGCTACACAGTCATTCATGTGTAATTTTAATTATGGAAAGTCCTTTGGGATGAATAGCTTGCTTCTTCTTTTTTTTTTTTTTAATTTTGAAATATATTTTCACAATACAAACACAACAAAATCCAGAGTTGTAATAATAAGAATGCAAAGTTTCCAGCTGCAGCCACTTTTTAATTGGGTGTTTATATTTCTTCAACATAATTATTTAAAATAATTTTACTATGAAATGTTTTGAATGTTGAGTTAGCTCACTTGTGCCTACTATATAATGAGTATTTTTCTAAGCAGTATGAATTCAGTTCATGTATTTTTCAGAATTCTCATTTAAGAAGTTACACTAGTTTGCTCTACTATATATATATATATATATATATATATATATATATATATATATATATATATACATATGACATAATCATTTATAAGCCCTGCAAAATGAACATTTAGGTAAGAGATTACTTAAACATACATTTAAATATACACACATTTTTTTTCTGAGCAAAATAAATACTGAAGTGTAAAGTCTTTATGAATTCCAAGGAACTAATATAATCTATTAACAAATCTTGATTCATTAAACATTTAGAGATCATGTTGTTGTTATGTGCCGTCGAGTCGGCCCCGACTCTTAGCGACCCCTCCTTGGGTTTCCGAGGCAGTATCACTACGGAAGTAGGATTGCCCAACCTTCCTTCCGAGATCATCATACATAGATAGTAAATGATAGAAACAGCAGTTATCTTCTTTCATGTAAATAAGTCTGTTGCACATAGGCAGAGTTAGCATGCTACAATTCTTAATAAAATTTCAGCTGAAACATACTAGCAAAGAGATTTGTAAAGGAAAACTTGCTACTAAAGTGCACTGAAGTACTTATGAATTCTAGATGAGGAAAGGTCCTCTCTGCACAGTTCGTTCAGAAGAGAAATGGATATTTATTAAGTGAGCTACTCAACTACACTATTTAATAAAGTGAAATGTGATGAAATGTTGTCATTCTTCTTAAAGACTAAGTATACCATTTGATATAAACCTCTGAAGTTAAAGTCTATACCTCCTAAAGTACATTTACAGCTGTTCTAACTGGTCATATAGTACTCCACTTCAACACCTGCTCAGTCAGAATTTAGATCTAGTTTTTGTACACACAAAATGTTGTTGTTGTTGTTGTTATGTGCTGTCAAGTCAGCTCCGACTCATAGCGGCCCCTCCTTGGGTTTCCGACGCAGTATCACTACGGAAGTAGACTGCCACATCTTCCTTCTGAAGAGTGGCTGCTGGGTTTGAACCGCCAGCCTTCTGGTTAGTAGTCAAGTGCCTTAGGCACTACACTACCAGAGCTCCCAGACACAAAATACTACCCATTAAAAAGAAAGAAAAAATCATAAGCACTAAATATTCTCTACCTTCCTCTTCCTATACATGCTTATCTTATCCACACTGCATGAAGCAAATTTTGTATTTTTTTTATTATAGATTGGTGACATTTTTTAATGTCTGTATTTTTATAAAATTGATTGTTATCAAAGATAATTTAATTATTTTAGAATGGACTTTTTCTTTTAATAAAAGAATCATTACTGCGTAAGATTCTATGTAAATATATGGCCATTTTCCTATCTGTAAGAATGGAAAGAAAATTGGCAATGAAAGATCTTGGACCATGAGAAAAAATTTCAACCAGGCTGTTTGCTGGCAACAGGCCACACAAGCAGTGAGCCTGGTCCTGCAGTAGAGAGCATATTGGCAGATGTTATTAGCTGACTTTTGCTGGAAATGTATGGGAGAACAGTTGGAAAATCACAAGGTGTAAAACAAGCTTTAAATAAATAAATAGCTTATTTGGCAACAGAAATGAGGAAAGGAAGAATTCTTGGTTGAGGAGTAAGACTGGGATACTCTAAGACTTCCTTAGCATTGGTTTCATGGACTGACTTCTTAATGAGAATTGAAAATGTATGTCCCACATTTGTATTTAGAGGTTCTAGGACCCACAAATTAGTTCCTGGTTCTGCCGTAGCTTAAGTCTTTCTGATGCCACTGATACAGGTAATAATTTTTCGCCCTTCCCTGTTTTGCCTCTTAGTAACTGAGGCAGTAGATGAGGAAACTGTTAATGGCTGAGCTTTATGCTTGTCAATTAGAGCTTCTGACACATTAAATTAAAAATATTGGTACTTAACATTAGAGTAGCTCTAAGAAAACACTACAAAAAAAAAATCTAGATGACAACGTGGTAGTTGGAGCAGGTAACAGTCAACAAATATATGGAAATTAATTTTGTATAAACGTCAAAATTTCAATAAAAGGGAGACAACTGTAAAAGATAATTTATCAGAGAAAAATCACATGATGCTGAAAAAGTGTGCTCCCATTATCAATGTTTGCTTTTGGGGTTAACGAACGTACAAGCAGAACACATTTATATATTTCATAAGTGGGATGTAAATTATTACGAAGCCAATAAAATTGGGTCATATTTTCTTCAAGTGCCAAGATAAGAATCCCTTTATCTTTTCTGATTAGACATATTGCTAGGCAACATTTGTTAACAAATGTTCAAAAAGGGAATGAGACCTAAGGGTTTAAAAAAACCACAGCACAATATCCATAAAGGTGGTGACTCCATCATCCCCCCCCCACACACACACACATTTAAAACGACATTCCTTGTGGTACTTCCTTTTTTTCTAAGGCACAAATTAAAACGTAGGATCAATTTTAAATATAATATCTTTGAGGCAATTCTTACGCTATTTTGCTGCACCGAACTCAGGGTATTTCCACCCTTACTAGTAGCTCACTTTGTTATTTAGGAGATATAATTGTATGGATACTTATTTGTAGCCGACTTTGAGAATCACAAAAGCCACGGTGATATATGAAAATTCTCAGCATTTCTTCAAGGGCATCTTCAACTCTGCAGTCGCTGGCAGGATAACGCACTTCCAGGTACTAAAACACACACCTTCCCGCGATCCGTGTGCTGGCACAGAAAGAATCTTTGCGGAGGGAAGACACCCTGCCACGGATACCGGAGTTCTTTGGGGTTGCTTTGCTAGTGCCCGCCCTCTTCCCTGCACTATGGAAACTGCATTTTTCTATTCCTGCTTGTCCTCGTTCCATTTCTACTATTACATTCAAAACAGATTATTTCAACTTCCCGAAACCTGCCAAATGAATAGGTGCTCACGATGACGCCCCAGAAAAGAGAGCGAATACCGGTTGTGGAGCAGAGCGCTCTAGCTCTGTTTAAGACGCCCCCACAAGCCGGTGGGAAACCGGGAGAGGGCGGAATACTGCTCCTGGCCAGAAATGCAGCGGAGTAAACCCTGCGCGGACCCAGGCTTTCCTGGGAACTGCGCTTTCCTCCGAGCCCCCCGCCGCGGCCCGCGCAGTTTGACCGCAGAGCCTTGCCCCCTCCCCGCACCCCGACCCAGCCCTTCGGTGTCTTTCCAGTAATGGGCATGGAGCTGCTATTGATCCTGAGCTCACCGTGTGACTAATTTGGATGCTCGTAAACAAGCGCCGGCGGGCTCTGCGCACCGCCACCCCCGTGCTGACGAGCACCCAAGAGAAAAACACGGGCGCAAACAACCCGGCGGCGGGCGCGCGCGCCGACACCCCGCCTCTGCGCCTGCCATCCGAGCCCTGGACGCGGGATCAACTGCGCCGAAATGGGGAAGAGGGTGCCCGCCACGGAGAAAGCAGTTCAAAATCATTCCCATTTTCAGGCCCCCCAGGCCCATGTCTAGGACCCGCAGCAAATGGGGCGGATGAGGCGGGGACCGGAGGGGGGTGCAGGCTTGGGAGGGGGGTGCTACCCGTCCCCTCCCATTCCTCCCAGGCCTTAGCTAACCGGTTCTGCTCTTTGATCTCCACCAGGCTCCCCCCAACTACCCCTTCCATATTTCCCTTCCAGTATTCCTTTCCCAGCAGAAGAATGAAGATAAATTAATATAGTCAATGGTAGGAGTGAAAGGTCCTCCCCGGCGCCCCCCGGCCTCCGCTCTCCCCGCCCCTTCTCCTAGCTCCTTTTTCACGCTCTGGGTGGCATTTCCTTCGCGTGCATCAACAACAAGCCTCTGATTAATGAGGCACTGGGGCCGCCGGGCCCCCACCCCTTCCCGGGCCCTCCATCCTCGGCGGGAGGGGGAAGGGACGGGCGGGAAAAGCAACTGAAGGAGAAAAGAGAAGAGCGCGGCGGCGGCGGAGGGCGGGGTCCCCGAGCGGCCCGCCCCTTTCCGACCCCTGCGCTCTATTGGCTGAATGAGCCGTCCGTCCTGGGGCGCGGCCGCCAATGCGGGGAGCGGGTGGGGGAGGAGCGGCCGCCGGCCCCGCGCTCGTGTGTGTGCCTGCGTAACGCCGAGTCACATGTTGTTTTGCTCTTCTTAGTTCAGTCACTCGGTGCGCGATGTGTTACTCACTGTTCAACTGGGAACGAGACAAGCAGGACTCGCCGTTGGCGGCGGCGGCGGCAGCAGCAGCAGCAGCTCCGGTGGCGGCGGCGCGCACCCCGGTTCCCCAGAGTGCAACACGGAGAAGGCGGCGGCCACAGCACAAGTGCAGCCGCGGACTGCTTAGGCTCCGGCCCGGCGGCGGCGTTTGGCAGCTCCAAGACTCGGACTGTCTCTCCATCTAGCTAGTTACCCTAGGCGGCCGCGCAGCCAGGGACCCTGGAGAGGGAGCGGCCGCGGGAAGTTGGGCACAGGGGGACAGCCGCCGACTGCAATCTGGGCATCCTCAGGGAGACCCCCAGAGGCGGCCGAAGCCCGGAGGGGTGCTACGCCACAGCCGGTTATCTTTTTCCCGTTCTCTTCACTTGATTTTTCTTCACCTTTTGGGCAAGGAGGGACGTTCGAGCGAGGGGAGCCGCGCCCCCCCGCCCGCGCCTCCCCTCCCTCCTTTTACCCCCCTTTCCACAACTGGGTTGGGGCGGCCAGGACTGAAACTCCCAGGATGGCGAGCCCGCCACTGAACGGGCTCCCCACCCCGGCCGGAGCCTCCGGCGACGGCGGCGGGAGCGCGGGGGGCGGCGGCCCCAACCTCAACAACAACAACAACAACCACAGCGTGCGGAAGTGCGGCTACCTGAGGAAGCAGAAACACGGGCACAAACGGTTCTTCGTGCTCCGCGGCCCCGGGGGCGGTGCGGGCAGCGAGGAGCAAGCGACAGGCAGCGCGGGCGGGGGGCAGCCGCCGCAGCCCCCCCGGCTCGAGTACTACGAGAACGAGAAGAAGTGGAAGAACAAGTCGGGGGCCCCGAAGCGGGTGATCGCGCTCGACTGCTGCCTCAACATCAACAAGCGCGCCGACGCCAAGCACAAGTACCTCATCGCCCTCTACACCAAGGACGAGTACTTCGCGGTGGCAGCCGAGAATGAGCAGGAGCAAGAGGGCTGGTACCGCGCGCTCACCGACCTGGTCAACGAGGGCCGCGCCGGCGACGCGCCCTCCGCGCGCTGCCCCGCAGCCGCGGCAGCCAGCGCCGCGTCGTGCAGTGCCTCCCTGCCCGGGAGTGGAGCCTTTGGTGGCTCGGCTGGCGCCGCCGATGACAACTATGGGCTCATCGCTCCCGCCACATCTGTCTACCGCGAGGTCTGGCAGGTGAACCTGAAGCCCAAGGGCCTGGGGCAGAGCAAGAATCTGACGGGTGTGTATCGGCTGTGCCTGTCGGCGCGCACCATCGGTTTCGTGAAGCTCAACTGCGAGCAGCCGTCGGTCACGCTGCAGCTGATGAACATCCGCCGCTGCGGCCACTCCGACAGTTTCTTCTTCATCGAGGTGGGCCGCTCGGCTGTCACGGGTCCCGGCGAGCTATGGATGCAGGCTGACGACTCGGTGGTGGCGCAAAACATCCACGAGACCATCTTGGAGGCCATGAAGGCTCTCAAGGAACTCTTCGAGTTTCGACCGCGCAGCAAGAGCCAGTCATCGGGCTCCTCTTCCACACACCCCATCAGTGTGCCCGGCGCGCGGCGCCACCACCAGCTGGTCAACCTGCCCCCCAGTCAGACAGGCCTGGTGCGCCGTTCGCGAACCGACAGCCTAGCTGCCACACCGCCAGCCGCGGCCAGCGCCAGCGCTGCTGCGGCAGCCAAATGCAGCTCCTGCCGGGTGCGCACGGCCAGCGAGGGAGATGGCAGCTCCGGCGCGGCGGGAGGAGGGGGCTGCAGGCCTGTGTCGGTGGCTGGGAGCCCCATGAGTCCCGGACCGGTGAGGACGCCTCTGAGCCGCTCGCATACCCTGAGCAGCGGCTGCAGCGGCCATCCGAGCAAGATGATGCTAGCGCCGGCAGGGGGCGCCCTGCAACACAGTCGCTCCATGTCCATGCCGGTGTCCCATTCTCCCCCGGCAGCCACCAGCCCTAGCAGCCTCTCGTCCAGCAGTGGGCACGGCTCGGGCTCCTACCCGCTGCCCCCAGGCCCACACCCGTACCTGCAGCACCCCCTGCACCATCACCAGGGCCAGAGGCCCTCCAGTGGCAGTGCCTCTGCCTCAGGCTCCCCCAGCGATCCTGGTTTCATATCCCTGGATGAGTATGGTTCCAGTCCTGGCGACTTGAGAGCCTTTTGCAGTCACAGAAGCAACACTCCTGAGTCCATCGCAGAAACCCCTCCTGCCAGAGATGGCAGTGGGGCTGAGTTGTATGGGTATATGACCATGGACAGGCCCTTGAGCCACTGTGGCCGCCCCTACCGCAGAGTCTCAGGGGATGGGACTCAGGACTTGGACAAAGGGCTGAGGAAGAGGACTTATTCCCTGACTACACCTGCCCGTCAGCGGGCAGTGCCCCAGCCTTCCTCTGCATCCCTGGATGAATACACTCTGATGCGGGCCACCTTTTCTGGCAGCTCAGGCCGTCTTTGCCCATCCTGCCCAGCGTCCTCTCCCAAAGTGGCCTACAATCCGTATCCCGAGGACTATGGAGACGTAGAGATTGGCTCCCACAGGAGCTCTAACAGTAACCTAGGAGCAGATGATGGCTACATGCCCATGACCCCTGGTGTGGCCCCACTGATGGGTGGTGGCAGTGGCAGTTGTAAGAGTGATGACTACATGCCCATGAGCCCCACCAGTGTGTCTGCTCCCAAGCAGATCTTGCAGCCACGAGTTGCAGCTTCAGCTTTGCCCCCCACAGGAGCTGGGGTGCCAGCAACAATCTCTGTATCTGGAAGAGGCTTTCCAGCCAACGGGGGCAGCTACAAGACCAGTTCCCCAGCAGAGAGATCCCCAGAGGACAATAGGTATATGCGAATGTGGTGTGGCTCCAAGCTGTCCATGGAGAATTCTGATAGCAAGCTGCTTTCTAATGGGGACTACCTCAATATGTCCCCCAGTGATGCTGGCACCTCCTGTACCCCACCTGACTTCTTCTCAGCTGCCTTGCACAGTGGTGGAGAAATACTCAAGGGAGTTCCTGGCTACTGCTACAGCTCTTTGCCTCGCTCTTACAAGGCTCCTTATACCTGCAATGGGGACAATGACCAGTATGTACTTATGAGCTCCCCAGTGGGGCGGATCCTGGAAGAGGAGAGACAAGAGCAGCAGAACAGCCAGCCTCTGGCCACCCCCATGACCACCCAATTGGCCAGCGCCTTTGGGGCCACTGGGGGCAGCCACAACCAACCTCACCACCCAGTAGTGCCTTCAGCCATGAGGCAGAGTGGCAGCAGCAGTGGCAGCAACAGCAGCCGGCCAGAGGGTTTCCTGAACCAACGCTGCCGGGCAGTGCGGCCTACTCGCCTTTCGCTGGAGGGGCTTCAGACTCTGCCTAGCATGCATGAGTACCCTTTGCCACCAGAACCCAAGAGCCCAGGAGAATACATCAACATTGACTTTGGTGAGGCGGGAGCCCACCTTTCCCCACCTGCTCCTCCACTGCTGGCCTCTGCTGCGTCATCCTCCTCGCTGCTGTCAGCCAGTAGCCCAGCCTCCTCACTGGGTTCTGGCACCCCCGGAACTAGTAGCGACAGCCGACAACGTTCCCCTCTCTCAGACTACATGAACCTTGACTTCAGCTCACCCAAGTCACCCAAGCCAGGTACCCAGAGTGGGGACCCTGTAGGCTCCTTGGATGCCCTTCTTTCGCCTGAGGCCTCCTCACCCTACCCACCACTGCCCCCGAGACCCTTGGCGTCTCCTTCCTCTTCTTCCTCACAGCAGCAGCAGCCATCCCTACCGCCACCACCAGGGGAGCTATACCAGCTGCCTCCAGTATCAGTTGCTACCACCTCCCAGGGCCCCAGCGCTGCCTCTTCTTCGTCCTCTGAGACTGGGGACAACGGTGACTACACCGAAATGGCCTTTGGTGTGGCTGCCACCCCACCACAACCCATTGCGGCACCCCCAAAGCCAGAAAGTGCCCGTGTGACCAGCCCGACGCCTGGTGTGAAGAGGCTGAGTCTCATGGATCAGGTGTCCGGCGTTGAAGCCTTTCTGCAGGCTAGCCAACCCCTAGACCCACACCGAGGCGCCAAGGTCATCCGTGCCGACCCGCAGGGAGGTCGCCGCCGGCACAGCTCGGAGACCTTCTCCTCGACCACCACTGTGACCCCTGTGTCCCCGTCCTTCGCCCATAATCCTAAGCGCCACAACTCGGCTTCTGTGGAAAATGTCTCTCTCAGGAAAACTGGCGAAGGTGGTGGCAGTGGTGTTGGTGTAGGCCTTGGCGGGGGAGATGAGCCACCCAAATCTCCCCATCAGTCACAGCCAGCCCTTCCTGTGCCATCGCTTCCCCAGCAGTCAAGGCCCTGGACACAAAATCAGCCTGGGGGGTTGATAGGTTGCCCTGGGGGCAGTGGTTCTCCAATGCGTAGGGAGACCTCTGCTGGTTTCCAGAATGGTCTTAACTACATCGCCATTGATGTGAGGGAGGAGACTGGGCTGTTTCCGCAGCAGCAGCAACAGCAGCAGCAGCTACCACCACCACACCAACAACCAGGAGACAAGAACTCCTGGGGTCGGAACCATAGCCTCGGTGGTATCATCAACGCTGTAGGTGGCAGCAGCACGAGTGGAGTCTGTGGGGGGCCAGGCCCTGGCAACCTACCCTCTGCCAGCACCTACGCCAGCATTGACTTCTTGTCACATCACCTGAAGGAGGCTACTGTTGTGAAAGGTGAGGCCATTTGACTTTGTGTACAGTGAGAAGGAAGGTTTGGGAAGTCCTGTAGTGTTGCTGGGTTTCACTCTTTTTCCCTTTTTGACACCTTGATCTAAGTGCCAAAATATTGGCTTAGGTTCCTTGTTTTGTTTTATATTTGGCTCCCATATCCTCCTCTTCCCCAAAAGCACTTGTTGAGAATGATCAACTTGTTTTTCAGATGAATGCAAAGCTTCTGACACAGAAAACTTTGGTGTTTTTTAGACCAAACCCATTTCTTTCTTCCTATCCTCCTCCTCTTCCAATCTGTTAACATCGTGGAGTTCTAGTCAGGTAGGCCAAACAAAACAGATGGATAAACACAGTATTGTTGATATTTATAGTCAAGAAAGTTTTGCTAGGAAGGAAGGTCAAGATTGTAACTGCTCCCACAGACTGCAGACTTTACCTTTCTCTTTGAAGTCCCTTTAGCTGGAGAGTAAAGCCTCAAAGTTTATGAAAACAGACCTAAAATTCATGTAAGTATTTAGCATCCATTTTTCTGGCACCTAACCAATTAAATTCTACTTATAAACTATAGGAGCCTTTCCATCAGATTATTTATTTATTTATTTATTTATTTTTTACTGAAAGGATGAAATAGCAACACTTTAAACCAGATGTTCTTAAACTTTGAATGTATGTGGGAATGTGTTTGTTACAAGATGGGTTGCTGGGCTTTATAAACCCCCGAAGTTTCTGATTCATAGACTGGGGTTGGCCCAGAATGTGCATGTCTAATAAGTTCCCAGGTTATGCTGATGCTGCTAATCTGCAGACCATACTTTGAGCACCCTACCCTGACGGTAGAATCACCTGAGGAGGTTTGAAAAAGTATCTGCCTGGACCTCACCCAGGACACATTAAATACATCAGAGGTGTAGAGCTAGGCACCCAGTTTTCAGAGTTCCCCAGGTGATTTTAATGTGTAGCCAGTATTTAGAATGAGTGTTTTAGAGGAAGAGTGAAACACAAAAACATTGATCTTTTCAGGAACGATTGGATATGATGATGCCCTGTGTTGTTGAAGCTGTCAATAAACACCAATTGGAAGAGAGATGTGTTTCCTTTGCAGCTGGCAGTGTGTCCTAGTTGTCTCAAACTTTGAATGGTGAGGGAGGAAAGAGAGGTATAAGTGGGGTGAATATCCAGTTCAAGAGAGTTTTTTCTTTAATTCTGTAGCTGTTTCTTTGCTGAGTAGCTAGGAGATAGAGGTTCCTTGGGACCATAAAAACACGTAGTAGCCAGTAGTGTTGTTTGGATGCAGCAGTAGATGCTGGTCTAAGGTAATCGTTCTTAAGAGATTACAGGGTGATGCGTGAGATGGCTTGGGGATCCATATGCCTTTTGTTCTTAAGATAAACAGACTAGTTTAATATTATTGAAGTCTAGTGTATGTTTTATAGTCTAGTGTATGTTTTATAGTATATTTGGGACTGTTATTTCATGGGATTTTAAAATGGTAGCTGTAGGGTAAATCTCCCATTCTATTATGATAGAGGAAAAAAACTCCTTTTTTATTAAAACCATCAAATAAAAGATGAAAAGAGTCACAGAATTATCAGGAGTAGTACAGTGTTTCAGCTTCTAATTAAATCAATCGGAAGTTGTCAGAATGTATCTCATAAAGGATGACTCTCAGCTGAAGGTCACTTTGCTCAGGGTTACACTACACAGTACAGGGATGTCTGAAAAATTGCTAATGCATCATGGAGTTGCTGCCGAAGGCCTAGCCCATATAAACACACCAGCACAGGTATATCTTAGTGGGGAAAACATACACACACATCCTCATCCGTGTCTCCAAATGGGTGTATGCCACACGAGTAACTACATTTTGTCCAAACCTGATTCTAGTAAGAAAAACAGCCTCAGAACATGACACCTTTTACTGTTTTTGAGGTGGTAAAAACCTGGACTGGATTCAGGTGGGGCCCCAGGAGTTGGTTCTTGCAGTAACAGGAGGGATATGAATGTGCAGTCTGCGCCTGCTGGCCTGAAAGAATTCAAGGCCTTTCTGATAAAGTGGATACATTCAGAAATGTGATTCATGTATGACATAATGCCCTTTTCAGATTAGTGAAAATTTTAAGCTTCCAGAGATAAATTTATTTAGAGACCTGATTGAGCTTGTTTTGTTTAACATTTCCCACCAGTATGAAACTGCTCTCAGCCTATAGGATTCAGGATTCTGAAATCAAAACAGTGTTTTGTACGTTCCATGCTTGCTGAACAAAGATGAGTAATTGTTTTGGTTATTGCTTTCCCAAAGTATGTGTCTGTATTATTGTAAACACTTTTAAAAGGGAAAATGTCTGTTTTTAAGCAAAATACATAACAGCAATTGATCCAGTCAGTGTATTAGAGTCATACCAGAGTCACAGTTTTTGTTTTGTTTTTAAAGAAGATTAATGTTAAATGGATTTCTAGTGAACTGACTTGATCTCAAAGAACAGTGGAACAGGGAAGTCAAGTATATCATCTTCCGTTATTAATGTACCACGTAAATTATGGTCTGTGAGCCAGAAAGGGAACATTAAGAAACTCACAGTGAACATCTACTTTTATTTAACTCACACACGCTTGCAGAAATTTATTTGTGGTGCTTATAAATAGAAAGTTCACAGTAGATAAATGTCCTTTGAGAGAATGACTTGTAGTAAGTAGTAAGACCTACAAAGCATTTCTTTGAAGATGAACTAGAAAAGGGACTTCCATGGTTGTCACCTGCATTGCCCCGGCTCTTAGAAGTGGCATATGTTTCTACATAGAGATTCTCGTGCTCTGCATGGAAAAGCTTAATTAGTTATGCTGAGGCAAAATAATTTGGGGTTACTTGGGTAGTGTTTAGAATTTGCAAAAGTAGTAACAGGGAGGAAGGGTTCCAGTAATCTTTGATAGTTGTTTACAATAAAGTTGGGAATGGGGGTAGGGTTTAAAGTCTAAAGCCAATTAAAAAGTTAGTACACCCTAGGTATGTAATTTTTTAATTGATCCAAACAAAACAAAAGTTTAATTCCAAATTTATAACTTAGCTGGTGACACTGGGAGGTTACTTATTGTGTGTTTTGTGTATGTGTGTATTCAGAAAATTCCAACCAATCAGTTTTAATTTTGTTGTTACTTGGTAATGGGAAATAAGTTACTAAAGTCATTATACTTTAAAAATGAACGATATTTATTTGTGTGTTAAGATTATAGATTGGTTTACATCATAAAAATATGCTACTTCAGTGTTTCTCTCTAGTGGGATTTTTATTCTAAAATTGATTCATATGTGTATATAAGAGAGATTAGATGAAAATTATCCCTGAAAGCATCTGTATCTTAATTTTGTCTGATAAAAGGACTACCAGTGCAGATCATACAGTAAAAAAATGAGACATAAGAAACATTTCCAAAGGAATGGTAAAATCAGGATTTATGTTTAAAAATATTGCCTATTGAAATCTAGAAGTAATGGATTTACTTTCAGAAATGCAATGAGATCTTCTGACAGACCAGATAACCTTCATTTTTTTTCTGTTGTGCTTGCTATTCTGCTTTCGTTGACTAGCTCTTGTCATAATAAGATGATATTGTACTCTGTTCCTACCCTACTCCCAAGAGCAGACAAGTAAGGTGCTAATGAAAAACACAGGCACACATTCCTGAATGAAAGTCACATGACTTGTTCTGTTTCCTTTATTGAAAGAGAAACCTTTACAAAAATAGTACTTCATAGAAGGAAGCATAATATGTGGAACACTAAACCAGGAATCAGGAAACCAGGTCTCTAGTCACTGATCTTAATGAGTCATTGTGACTATATAAGCAAGCCACATAATCCCTCTTTCTCACTTTCTGTGCCTGTAAAATGGGGGTAATTACAATCCTTTCCTTTTTGTGTCATAGGAGCACTAGAGGTAAATGAGAAAGTAAACATCAAAAGTGTTTGAAGTAAGAAAGGTGCCAATACGTCCTGTCCTTCTGTTGGTATTTCTTATTTTGAGCTATGAAAATATATAGGAAAGACAGTTTTTTAAATGAATTTATTTAAATTGAAAAAAGTATCAGAATATTCCAAAAATGGAGCCAGTACCTTATAAGAAATCTGCACCTTTGCTACTTGATTACTAGCTCAACTCCAATCTCCAAGAGCTACTTTTTCCCTCTTTAAGATTTGTTCATAGCTAATTAACAATTTATGTAGTAGTGTTTTAAATTACTCAGTAAAATAACAAAAACAACATCCTAGTCCTGGAACTATATTAACACTACAATTTTGATTGCCTTTTGTGATTTGTTTATATACTAAGATAAAAATATAGAATTATTATATATAATTTTTTTTAAATTAAGTGTTGGTTCTTAATGCAGGATACATTAGAAGAAAAACAGAACCCTTAAATTTTGAGTTGTTTGATCATCCTTTGTTCGTTTACTCCTTTATTCTTTTGGGTTGATTTAATTAGACTCATCATTCATGCACTATTTTGATTGGTAGCACTGTGTTTGGGTTGTCACACAGGGTGGGAAGATGTCTATGTTTGATTACTTCCTTCTTCCATCAGAAAAAAATGTAATTGATAATTAATGTTTTATTTTCTTTAGAATTAGTGGTATTAAAATGACGCTCACTCTTTTTTGAAGAAGAAGAAGAGTTTTAGTAACAACAGCCTGGGTATAATGGGTTTTCTGTTAAAATTCCCACTACTGCATTTTCTGTAGAAACATAGTTCCAAGAGCTGGTTAACTTTGAGTATCAGATTTGGCAAGTGAAAAGGTTTTTTTTTGTTTTGTTTTGTTTTTTTGAGTAGCACAGAATCAAGTGCTCCCATTTCACCTTAGAAACTTGAGGGAAAATGTAACTTTAGTCTTTTATCTGCATTGCCAAGTGGAGTGGGGAAATGTTCACAGTGAAGAGAAGGGCTGTGGCCCCACCCTTCTGGCCAGTTCTCCACTTAGACAATTAGAATACAGTAGAATTCTCAGTAGAATTCTCTAGCTT